CATTACTGTCTATCGAATCATCATCGTTGTATTCATCATAATCGTCCTTGCGCTTCTTCAATTTACCTTTATTTAGTGCAACAGTAAATAAAAACAAAGTCTGTAGTGCACATAATTATTTTTCTTTTTGTATAAATGTATATAATATATTAGTACATAAATACATTAAAAAATTACATGAATATAATATTAATATAAAAATAAATTATGTAAAATTGAGAAATGTAATCGAATAGAAAGTGAACAAAATACATATGTAGGTTATGTACTGTTATCTTTTTTGAAGCGCTTTGGCGGACCCATTATACTGAAATTTAAAATTCAGTTAATCAATAGTTACAATTTCTTCTTTTATTCTTCTTTGGTATAGATGTCTCCTTTGGGACATCATTACCATTACTCCATCAAAATTGTATCTTACGGCACGGAGTAAAAAGAAGGAGATTAAACTCAAGCCGGTCACAAAAAATAGACTCGAAACTATAGTATAAGCACAGTATATACAGTAGTGCAATTCCCGATTTTGCGTGGCCAAAATGGAGTGCGCATGCGCGAAAAAGCAAGTTGCCCTATCTCATTTTCTTCTTCTTTATTGCTCTCTTTCTATTTAAATGACTGTTTTAATGTTCCATTTAAAGAGCTGAGAGCAGAAATTTAGAGGGAAATATAACCTACATTGTCCATTTGATAGTGTTGTGTGAGAAACCTCAAGAGACTAGTCTCGTGAAAAAGTAAAGTGAAAAAGTGAACGAAAATAAAGAAGAAAACCGAGCAAGAAAGTTTTCTTTTTGAGAGAATAGTTAACTTATATTATTATATACGTTAGCTCTTCTCTTGGAAGAGCACTTTGATCTTAGCTCTCTATTTCAGGTGCTGTGTCAACTCCAAAAAATTGTGAAAAAAAAGAACAATATATAATGATTATTCATCATTCATCAGATTATTTCATTGTAATAGTAGGTTTATTCGCGTTGCATGCTCTAATATGCTCCTATAACAATTCTTACTCATCCAACGCATTTGTTGGAGTGCGACGCGAATAACTCTAGTGAGTTTTTACAGAGCGAAAAAAGGATGAAAAGAAAAAGAAGTTTAGGTGGTAACCATGATAACCTAGGTAACTTGCTTATTTCGCGCATGCGCACTCAATTTTGACCACGCTCATATCAAAGGTGCCGACAGATTGCGCTACTATATGTACTGTATAAGTACATACAGTATAGACTGAACGTCAGCACCTTTAAGGTAGTGGATCCTCAGTCACACGACTCGTCGCTATGTTGTGGATTGGAAAGGCGCTTATAAATTGCTTATAAATTTAAGTTTTAATAAACTTACAGAATGATTTTTCTAAAAAAAAATAGACATAATTCTGTGTCATGAAAATTGTTTATAACGAGTATATTTTTAAATTAGAATTATATAATAATATTACGTTAACGAACTCATTATATAAAGATAATATTCACATTAATAATAACAATATTAAACAGTAAGTAAATTAAAAATAATAATTAATTAAATATTATATAAAAATGGTAATTAAATAATTATGTACAATATAAAAAAATAATGTATTATATGAAAATTGTAATTAAATGTGAAATTGTAATTTAGTAATATACGCACACACACACACACACACACACACACACACACACACACACACACACACACACACAATTGCATACTTTATTACGAGAATACTTTATCATATACAAATATAACAGTCTATACAATATAACGTTCCCGAAAAAATTTGATTTAATTTTTTAATAAAACTTGATTTTATCATTTAATAAAACTTAATTCTTTGATCTACTTTTTTCTTACAAATTAAAAAAAAATTAAGTTTTGTACTACGACTCTTATTTGTATAATTAAACTAATATAAGTTGCATAAATGATAAATCGATATTTGGTTCCTATAATCGTGCTACATATAGTACGATTATACGAAAAAATCAAATATCGATTTATCATCTTCAGCCTTGAAAAATGGATAATGTTATGTAGTTTACATCTACTTTGTCAGAGGGCAATAGTGTGCGACATCATTTTGCGGTTTTGGGCCGCGTTTCATGTCCTCTCTCAGGTTCCTCTCTAGTACAAGCTATTCCAAGCAATGCCTTAATACACCCAGGAATATCGAAATATTAGAGAAACTGACGATAGCGCTGACGGAACTTCTGGAACACTGTGGAACCTTCAACTTATGTTTCGATCAATTACATGATTTTTATGTAATTATTATAACTATATGGATGACTCACAAATCTTTTTAATGATTCATAACTCTTCATACAAAATACAAACGATTCCGTGTAAGAACGTTGTTTGATTTACCTGCGGTTAATTTTTTCGGCTAAATATATGGTGTAAAAATGATTACTTAATTATAATAACTGAATGATTCACAAATCTTTTCAATTGCACTTCAAACCCTTCATATGAAATATAAATGTTTTGGAACAGTAATTTTTTCAACCGGTGTATGTACATTCAAGGACTTTGATTCTTTCCTTCGGAAATTTTTACAAATTTGAAAATGACTAACTTTCTATATTAATACTCACAGTCCATGCGCGATTAATGATACAACTAAACCTTACGTCTGTATACGTACAACTAAGGGTCTGAGCACAAGAATTGTCGTAACGCTTACTTAGACTTAAATTGTAGACGTAAATATCACAAACTTTCACGTATGATATACAACTTATTACCGTGTATCCAGGATGACAAATAATTGTATGTCATACGCCAAAGCCTGTGCGTTACTTACGTCTACAACTTAAGTCTCTAAACTTTGTGAGCGTAAATCGCACTAGACATTCTAAAGTCGACATTGAAAGGATGTCTGTACAAACTCGATTTACAGTCGACTCTAAAGGTCTGACTTAGCAAAATCAACTTACAATCGACATATCAATGTTTGTGTTGTTAGGGAAGTGTTATGACAATTTTTGTGCTCAGATCCTAAATTTAGATGAAAAAACGAAATAACCTGAATTTTCGGAAGTTTTAAATAACTTTAATATTTTTATTCCACACACATATCTCCGTGGAAAAAAAACGGTGACAATAAGATATATGGATCTTGGCGTGAAATGCAAGAAAGCGTAAATATATATTGTAATATTACATTTATATAATACACAGCATTTGTCGAAACCGAGAAACATCCATTGCCTCGCGTGTCAGGAATGCAGTGGAGACAACGAAAATCATGAAAGTTCGTAATGATATAACATGAAACAGAGGTCTTGTTCTCGAAAAATATTGTACATATTATTTATGTAACTATTTAGTTCAATCTACATATAATATAATTCTGTATAATTTCTTTCCACAATATGTCAGCATTATCTAATTTATAGCATGTCTATCAGTAGCTAATATTGTTAATAGTTTGCGGTGCATCGAATTAATTATTGCCTGGCAATAATCAGGACGCTGGTTTAAGTCAGCCTAAGTTAAATGCACTCGTTACCCACCGATGGTAAAATGTTGTTTGACTCGTATCTGATGTTGGTCTCCAGATGCGATAACGACTGTCTTTGTCAATCGAGAAAATGTTATCGTTGAATATTTTTCTACGTCGAAATGTTAAAAGTGTCAAAAGTTTCTTCGCAGGTTTCTGGCATTCACGCCAAGATCCTTATACAGGGTGGGCCATCTATTGGTACGTTTTTAAAAATGCGATCAAATGAGCATACATTGATATTTTTTATTAATTTTTTTTTTGTTGTGAAGCTAAAAGTATCCGCGTCAAGAATGAAAAACGATTTCGTTCATGTGGCCCCCTCTACTGGCCTTACAGTATGCCATTCGGTCACCCCAATTATTAATGACATTTCAAAAACGTACCAATAGATGGCCCACCCTTTATCTTATTATCATCGTTTTTTTTTCCACGGAGATATGTGTGTGTGTGTGGAATAAAAATACTAAAGTTATTTAAAACTTCCGAAAATTCACGCGGTTTGCGGTTAGTGACAAACATTAGTATGAATTTTTAAAAATATATTAACTTATTTTTATGGACATTTTATTAATACTTTTATTTTTTTAACAGATTTACTTAATAATTGCGTTTAAATCAATTAATTCCATTAAAAAGTGCATAGCAGTGTATAGTAATGTGAGTTTGTTACTAGCCCGTGCCGCAAACTGCATGCAAACCGCGCTATGTAATATCAGCGAAAAAAAGGCGGTACGTGGTACGCGGTTTCCTAGTTACTTAATTAGTTATTATTAAGTTTATAGCACATACAAAAACATAAGGCCGTATAACGTAATTAGTAAGCGAATTGCCCAATCACAGTAAAGACCGTAAAGGCCAGTAGCGAATCCAATCTTACGATATCCTTACTGATTTCGTCTTACGGTCTTACTTTTTTCTATGTGTTCCCGGCTTAAATCTCTCTGGTTAATGCTACCAACGCTATGCTAGGATCGTTCATGGAACTTGCTATAGCGCTATTGGCTCATGAACAGCGTTGGTAGCATTTGCGCCCATAGCGCGAATAGTACCTCCCCGAACGCACTCCTTGGCTGCGGTCGATTTGAACGCCCACGTGCTTGAAGCATTTGTAATCATCATTCTGTCTTTATCGTTCATTAGAAGCAAAATAAGAATAGAAGTATTGAAAAGCGCTGAAAGCGTCTAAATCGATCACAGCCCTTGTATATATTTCCACCATGATTTTAACTTTTAAGTAAACGATGAGTAACTAAATTTTTTTTTTAATTACTTGGAATCGTGTCAAAATATAATAAAATCAAGAATATTGAATCTGAGGTTCTATTTGTACTTGGTTTTCTTTAAAAGGTAGTATTTTCAATAGTATAACAAATAGTCAGAAATTAAATGAGACAGAAAGATTTATGTAGATATTTTATTCGTTTTATTTTGCAATGACATTAACAAATTTATATATATATCAAATATTTAAAATCTAGTTTCGTCAATAAAATTGCATTTTCTTAAAATTTTCTTAGAGAACTTCATAACACCATATTTCAGAGAATTTATCTTCATAATCAAATAAAAAAGGAAATTTATTAAAATCTGGTTTTTTAAAAGGTTTTAACCATTTTTCTATCGAAATTCCGATTAGTAAAATTTTAAAAGTTGTTTCGATAGATGGACGAGTTACAAGCAGCGTTCCTGGTTTTATTGCAGTTCTCAAACATTTCCATATGTCTATTTGTACATCTCTCGATAAATAAAATTCAAATGCATTATTAATGATAATAACATCACTTTGCTCGATTATCTCTGGAACCTCTTCTATTTTTTTGTGCAAAATAGATATACGATTGTCCATTTTAAATTTACATACAATTTCATTTTGGAGATTGCAGAATTCTCTGTTCATTTCAACACCAATAATTCTTCTAGCATCTGTATATACATATGCCTGTAAAACAAAAGCATCAATATGATAAAAAAATTGCTGTAAATAAAAACTTTCTTATTGCTTATTCAGCAATTAATTTATTAATAATATTATTAGTTATATACAATAATACATATATAATTGTGTATATAATAATACATATTTCTAAATAACATTCTTACCCCATAAAGAACTGCACCTAATCTTGATCCTATGTCAAGTATAGTTTTGTTTTCCAAAGCAGGCAGTAGCACTTTAAATATAAAGTACAATCCATCCTGTGACATGGAGTGTGATAAATAAACTAAAATTATAAATATATTTACATAATATAAATCATAAAAAATAAAGAAAAAAATTAATTTTAATTTTACTTACTTAATGGTTGTATATTTCTAGATCTACAATCAGTGCAATAGTATCTTTCTAATTGATTACTATCTATGAGCTTATCAATATCTTCATCATTATAAAGGAACTCATCCATATGCAATGTGACACTAGGATCACAATCTGAATTCTAAGAAAAAAAAATATGTTTAATGTTATTTTGATATTTTTTTAAAATTAAACAGCTATTCTTTATATTCATTTATAACAAGACATACCTCTCCTGTTAAAGGAGTGATAAAATTTTCAGATGACAATATAGCATTAAAAAGAATCTTTTGTTTAATATCAGAAGCAATAGAATTTAAAATAGACATTGACTCATCCATTAATTTTTTATTATTACATGCATCATCCCCTATTAACATAATAATTTTAATAAGAAAAATTTATTTATTTTGATTGTGGAATTATTATATCAAATAACATTATATGATTTTATTATTTTTAGTTTGATTATAAGATATTCATATACTTTATCACAATCAACGTAACAAAGAAGCTAAAAGTTAATCAAAATTGAGTATAAAGAAAAATATAATTTATTAATTTATTTTAATCGCTTTATTTTATAACAAAATATAACAAATTTATAAATGTACATATAAAAAAAATTATAACAAACCTGAATCATTATAAGTCATAGATGGTTTAAGTTTCCATTCCTTCATAATAAATACTAAAAATTTTTGTTGATCAGTTGCGTTCAATGATCGCATCAATTCAACAAAACTTTGTTTTGCGTCATTTAAATCAATCAGTTTTTTACTCATTTTTTGTTTCACAAAAAGCAATTTAAAAATTTTTTTACGTATATATCTGCATATAAAATTGTTACAATAATAATTTAAATCCAATATATTTGTATGTCTTCATAAAATATAAAACATCTCAAATTATTCACACATTTAAAACGTGTTCTTCTTGAAGTTTTTCTTTCGGCAGAAAAGAATTTGCGTTCTGGATCTTGGCTTTAAGTCATATAATACAATTTATTATATCTATATATCGCGCTATGTTGTTGGAGTCGTCTTAGCACCGAGACATTACCGTGTCCCCTGATTAAAATATGTAATTTTTTGGAGTGTCTTTCGGGTAAAGACAATTTGAAATATTTTCAACCTCTTTTAGAGGTTTGTTCGCGTCGCACGCTCCTATTTATAACAACGCATCTCAATAGTCGCGTCACCGCCTATGGTGGAAGCAGAGAAAGAGAAGCTTCCTTTCTGATAGAAGTATAATAGGTGTGTTCTGTGCCACCGACGAGATCAAAAACTACATTTACACGATATTCTTAGGATCGGGTTCACCAATACCAGTTAATTTAATTGGCCGTTAACTAACCAATCACATTTGCTGTTTAGTAGAATTGACCAATTACGGTCAATCCCGATTAGACTTAGCGTGCGATTACATAGGGAGCGCGGTACGCGGTACGCGGTACAGTAACTAATAGTAACTAACTAGGCAACTAGGGAATCGCGTACTACGTATTGCCTATTTCTTTCGCTGGATATCAATCATGAAACTTTATCTCTAGAAAGAAAAGTGAAAATTTTTACCATTAAAATTAATGAAAAACTTCACTTTTCACTTTCTATCCTAGGGATAAAGTTTCATGCTTGATACCCTGATATTACATGGTTTGCGGCACAGGTTAATAACAAACTCACATTACTATACACTGCTATGCACTTTTTAATAGATTGAATTGATTTAAACACAATTATTAAGTAAATCTGTTAAAAAAATAAGAGTATCGATAAAGTGAGCATAAGAATAAGTTAATATATTTTAAAAAATTCATACTAATGTGAATTTGTCACTAACTTGTGCCGCAAATCGCGCTCCATGTAATATCAGCGAAAGAAATAGGCGGTACGTGATACGCGGTTTCTTAATTGTTTAGATAGTTACTATTAGTTACTGTACCACGTATCGCGCTCCATGTAATCGCTTCCTTATAGTTCCGGCACACCAACGTGATGTTTGTCACGTGCGACAAGCGATATCCAATGAAAATATACCTTTAGAATGAGAACATCCGTAAAGCTGTACACTCATTGGATATTGCGCGTCGCGCGCGACGAACATTGCGCTGGTATATCGGAGGCATTAATCGGCACTAGTGAAACCGGCTCTAATTAATCGGGTTTAATAATATCCGTAGTTATAAAATTGGCCAATCACTGACTTAGTTTCTACCGAGGGTTTAAACCAGATCAGAATGTAAGAACCAACTACAATCGAGCATTCCCCTGTCGTTTGACTGTAACAGGAGAATACGCAACTGTAGTTTGTTGATTCTTACATTCTGATCCTTAATTAAACTTTCGGATTAAACTTTTGGTGGAAACTAGGCCACTGTTATGTGTGGCAACCCTTAAGCCAGTTCTACGTTAGTTGCAAGCTGATCGTAAGTTTGTTACGATAGCCAATATAAAGCGTTGATTTCGAAATGCAAGCTTCATATTGGCTGTAGCAACAAACTTGCGATCGGCTTGCAACTAATGTAGAATCGGCTTTAGGCGCGCATGTGTCAAAAAGCGGCTGGTCCGGTTTACAACGTTGTCGATTGAAGCCTACTTTTCATTCCCGAGTTTGATCTCTTGCTTTTTTATTCTGTGGGCAGTACGGTAGCCTTATTTGTCTATATTCATTTTAATGCAAAAAATGGCGGATTTTGAGGGTGCGTTTTGTATTTCTCTAGACTCAGTTACATGTGTGTTGTATGCTTGGAAGTGAAATAATATCGATTAAATATTAAAAATATTTTGTATTACATGATATAACATCGTATGACATATAATACAGGACGTTTTTTTAATGAAATTTCCTCTTATGTTAAAAAATCGACGAGCCATTCACGATAACGATTTTTAAACTTTGTTTCTATTTCATTTTTAGAGGACATAGAGGATATCGATCATCCACCACTTGTTCTGAAGGTTGATCCACCTGAGGAGTTACTGGAAGATTTTACCGAAGATTCAACGATTAACAATTCAACAGCACCAACTGATCGAGATACACATGGTTATGGTTATTCTAAAATATTTATATAATTCTCATATAATTGTCTTATTGAGAAATGCGCAAAACAATTAAAAATAATTATTTACCATACAATGAGATATTTAGTTATAGAATATGATAAATTCATGGACTTTGCAGATGAAACAAAACACTGTACAGCAGAGTCTAATGACCAAGAATCCACTTCAGCAGCTGTTAAATCTCTTAATAAAAAACATTGTAAGTTTGTATGATAAGAAAATGTAATGTGATATTTTCATTGTATATTAGTATATATTATATGTTTGTAGGTTCTGTGCTAGCTGTTTCAAAACTGGAAAATTCATTTGGTATTAGTGAATCTTTGAATCCTGTAACTAGCAAATCAAAGTCGTCTATACTGAGACCGTCACAATTAAGTGTGATAACCAATAGTTCTATGGGTACTACTGACAAAACTGTTTTACAACCTGCAAAATTTCGCAATCCATTTACAAAAACTAGTGACAATTCTGTAGGTGAGGATGAGTCCATAACAAAGAGCAATAAAACCGAAACAACTAAAGATTTTAAAAGTGAAGAAAAATCTACAGAAGATGTAAAATTGAAATTTTTGCCTTTGGGTGCAAGTACTAAGGAAAATGAAAATAATATAAATAATTCTGTGGCATCCAGTACATCCACTCCTAGTTTTGTATTTGGTCAGAATTTGAAAGAACGTGTTACTGTTTCAAATGATGTAGAAAGTTCAAATAATTCAGAGAAAAATGAAATAAGAAGCGAAGAAAGTCATGAAAATGGATCTGAACTTCTATTCTCAAATGCAGCTGCAAATTGCCGTACCATGGTAAGGCCAGGTTTAACATTGACTCAAGCAGCACAGGTATTGGAAGAAGCTAATCGTGCAAACAAAAGAAAATATAATCAAGTAACATTATTAACTGGTGAAGAAGGAGAAACAAATGTTCTTCAGATAAATTGCAAATTATTTGCCTTTGATAAGGTATGTAGACCTTCAAAATAATACATTTTTTAATATTTGAAGTAATCTATATTGAAGTTTAAATTAAATTTTACACACTCAAATGAATTATAATGATACAAGTCCCTACTGAATGTCAAATTTTAATTGGTACAAAATAATACAAATTTGAATTTTATATTCAATAGGACCTTGTATCATTACAGACTGTTACAGCTAATACTAATAGACTATTTCAATGCTGAATGTCAATCGCTGATAAAAAAGAAAAAAAATCAATATGTCATTCTTCAATTTAATTAAATTTTATAAATAATGCTCAATATAAATTGTATTACATATGCATTAAATTATACTAATTTAATACTAATTTCATAGTTGCTATATGTTGTAGAGTACGAGCAGTTGGCAGGAAAGGGGGAGAGGTATGTTAAGACTCAATGATCGAGATGAAGAATCTCGTTTAGTCGGCCGTACTGCTGGAACACAACGTTTGATCTTGAATACAAAAGTATGGCCGGGTATGACTGCAGAACGTGCTGGATCTAAATCATTAAGATTAACTGCTATGGATGTTCATGGAGATATTCGAATCTTTATTGTACAAGCGGCACCTAAAGAAGTCGATCAACTGCACAGTCTTTTACTACAGCGACTTAAACGCGCACAAGAACGCCATCCTAAGAAATTGGCAACGGACCATTGACAGCCATTGTCAATTCTGGCGAGGCATTAAGCATCAGCTTAATTTGTGCAACATAGAGGTCATTAAGATATGAAAGGAGTTAAATTCTTCAGGAATATTAATAAGACTATTTAGTATGCGCAATAGAATGGCTATGATTTGTGCCTTCCTCCAGAAGTTGCAGCTTTTAGTAGTTGCACCAGTATTTATTAAGAAGAGATTAAGTTGTGGCACTTAATACGAGTTTGACGCTCTTGTACACATTAATTGGTTTTGTTTTTTTTTTTTAAAGAATGTAAAACTTGTTATCCTTTTCAATCGATATATTCCCTTTTTTATTTTAAATTTAATGTCATTTTAAATAAAAGGGCGTTATCAAAAAAACAGATTATATAAAGTACATAATATTAATTCTATATGTTATAACAAATCTTAAAATAAATTACAATTAGTAATTACGATTCTTTAAAAAAATCTCAAGAATTTTAAAGTGTTATATATAGGGTGTTCAGGACAACAGTGTCCGCATGATTTTTCAGATACTTCCAACAGTTAAAAAAAAAGTTGAAAAATGAATATTCATCTATTTTTTGTAGGCTACAGCATGCGATAAAAGAATTAAAAGAAATTTTTTTAATAAAAAATCAAATCTTGAATTTTTTAAGTAGCATATAATTTTTTCCATAATATTGTAGGAGTCTTCAAGACAAATTCAAATCACTATCGAAATGTCACTTTGATGTTTTATTGATTTTATTGCATATTTTATTACATAAGTACATAATATGTATGTATCATAAATATCCATTAGCAAACGATATTATAAACATAAATTAATAAAGAAAAGATGTAACTTATGTAAACAAATATTCAAATTGTTTGCCTCCTTCTGCAACATAAACTTTTGTTCGTTTCCAAAAATTACTATGCATAGCAGCTATTATACTATTTTGGTCCGAAGTTCTCAAACATTATTTATTGGTGTTTGATATACAAAACATTTCAGATATCTCCATGAGAAAAAATCCATAGGGGATAAATCTAGTATGCCAGCTATTGGACTAGTCCATATGTACTTATAACACAATTGTGCAAAGATATCCTGAAGATAATTTTGAACCATTCATGCATTATAAGCTGGATCATTTTTTCTTAACCGTCGGAAGTGTCTGAAAAATCGTGCGGATCATTACAATGAACACTACATGCGTATGTATATACAGGATGTATCTGAAATAATGCCCACTAATCATAATGCTATTCCTAATAAAAAAAACCAAGTCAAACTATTTTATATTTTTTGCAATACTTTTAGTTGTCCAATGAGCAAAATGTCTAAATCGATGTATAAAATAACTTTAAGATATCCAAAGTTATCTTTAAGGGGATCCTAAAGTCCTATTTTACCATGATTACATTTTAGGAGAAATCTCTAAATTGGCTTCATGGATTGCAAAATTTTTGTTTACAGAATTAAAAAACGTACGAAAAGAATTTTCGTACGTTCTTTAATTCTGTAAAACACGATTTCACAAGAAAATCGAAAAAAAATTAAATCACTTTTTCTGGCATGTACAGCTGTCATCTGAGGTTAACATTTGCTTGAATAAAAGTTTTACAACTTGTAGATTGAAAATAAGCGTGAAGCGGGATTCAGATTACTTGAACGAACAATAAATGAGTTTGTGGAATTAAGATTCAAAGCGCAGAAGAAAAATATTTCTCCTAAAATGAAATTACGTGCTTTGCAAAGACTTACTTTTTTCCTCTTTTACAGATTCGGAAATCTTTTTCTAAGATTAAAGTATACACATTAATACGTGTCTGTGAAATATAATTTATTCCGAGAATGACAAAAAAATTTTGAAATTAAAATCTTAAGAAAAATTTTTTTGTTTTCGGTATGAACTCCACAAGCACGTATACGTATTAATACGTATACTTTAATCTTAGAAAAGGATTTTCGAATCTGTAAAAGAGAAAAAAGTAATTGTTATACAAAAATTATAATTAATCGGTAATACAGACGGCTTTAGAATCCTTTAAGAGTTCTTTAAGAAATATGTTCAAAATATTTCACAAGGAACACTGAAAGATATCTTAAAATTGTCTTATACATCAATTTTATTCATTTATTGGGCAATCTTTAGAAATGAATATCTCATTAACTATTGTGAAAATTGTAAAATAGTAGATTTGTTGACTCTGTTTTTTATTAGGAATAGCACTATATGATTGTGTGAGCGTTATTTCAGATACACCCTGTATACAGGGTATTCTCGACCTATGAGATCGCCTCTCATGAGCAGGTAGAGCGGAGTGAATTGAGTTGGAAAGTCCTGACCATTTTGCAATTTTCGCAATACTTTGGAGATATTAATTTTTAAAAATTACTAAATAAACTTGTATCCGCTCAGCTTGATGCGAAGTACTTGGTAGGCGCACCGATTGAGTTGTGACGCTTAGTGCACGCCTATTAGTCTCCGCGCGACGAACGATCGCAATGAGCATATACTTGGTGATAGCCGCGCGGATACATGCTTATTTGATGATTTTTAAAAATTAATATCTCTTAAAGTAATATAAAAATAGCAAAATAGCAAAGTAACAAAATAGTAAAGGATTTTTTTACTCAGTTTAGTCCACTTTACCTGCTCATGAAAGATAATCTTGTAGGTTCCCAGCAAACGAGGATTGAAATGAATTGAAATGGATTCAGATTTTCAGAAATATTGATTCACGAATGTTAAAATGAATGCTTTTCAATCCTGAATGCATTTTTATTCATTTATAGGAATTGCATGGAGCATATCTCTATGCCTTTCAATCTAAAAATAATATTAGTTTTTTCTGTGCAATTGTGAATACTGTTCAATTCAAAATTTTGAATAGGAAATGCAGTTTTTCAATCCAATTGCATCCAATTAAATCTAATTGAATCCAATTGAATTCAATTAGATTCAAAAAAAGTATTTGCTATTTAAAATACGCATTCAAATAGAAAAAAATTTCAATCCACTTTAATCCATTCTAGTTTACTGGTTTGAAGATCCTGTATATATTATTGAATTATGCATAATTGCGTATTATGGGCATCGTTTTTGTCCAGAATGGGTAATTTGTTACATCAACTGTACATTTAAATAAATAATTTAAATATGTATAATTTACCATTAAAAAGTATATAAGAACGGTTGGGTATAAGTTATAGTATTTGTAGCATATAATATTGCCATTACTTGTACTTTGATTTATATTTAAAAATTTGTGGAAATGTACGATATAACGGCATTATTATTATTTATATTATAATTATAAGTACATATTTTATTTTACATGTAAATAAAATAATCATTGTAGTTCTAATTGTTTCCTAATTTTATTCTTTGCGCTACAAGAACAGGTTCTTCTAGCGATTTCGGCTGGGGTGCACTAGTGTACACTACATTAGGGCTGGATTCGGAGAGATGCTATTTGTCACTGTCATTCTATCTTCATCGTCCATTTAATGTGAACCAAGAATAGTATGGCTGGTTCATAGTCGGTTCTTATTTTAAGACCGTCTTAAATAATGTCTTAAGTCGCTAATGTGGCCCTCTCATCGATTCATGATATCGTATGACTGTACTTAAGACGGTCTTTAATGTAAGATCTGATTATGAATACCGACCTATAATACAAATAGCGTTAATAACGCACTGCCCGAACGCAGTCTAGATATGTAGGTATTCTTATTCGCCATCTTGGTTCCTCTTGATGAATTATTATAGCATTTGGTTCGACTTGCTTACACTTTTTACACTTAATATTCTTGAAGCTTCCACGGGTGCTTTCTGTATAAAAGTTATGCGTTTCGCGGGTTTTCTTCGTGTCCAAATCCATTCTTGAAATGCCAACGTTTCGTGAACCTTGCACTCCACTTCAGGGCGAAGAGCAGCCTGATACTGAGCTGTTCCTCTGAGCCGTCCCTTTTTTATACGCTACTTATTGGAGTGGTGGGGGGAAAGAAGATAATTGTGGGTGAGGGAGAAAGAGGAGAGGAGGAATCGGTCAGTCCTCAATAACTTATATTATTGCTACTATTATATTATAATATAACTACTATTATTATTATATTATTGAGGACTGACCGATTCCTCCTCTCCTCATTCTCCCGCCCCCCCCCTCACCCATAATTCTCTTCTTTCCCCCCACCACTCCAACGTTGCATGATATCTGGCAAATCCTAGATCTTATTACATACGAACAAGCTATGAAGACACACACAATCCTCTGAAAGACAGAAACAGACATATATAAACCTTATCCCTCATAAAAATCCACAATCTTCTCTACTTAACGGCAAGAACCTATCCAACAAAGACTTGTCTCAAGATACTATATCTGCGCTTGCCAAAGGCCCTAACTTCGCAGTGGCACCTAGAAAGATTCCAAAGGAAGAGATTATCAGCCAAATAGAGTCAACCATCTACCGACTCCCATCAGAACAAGCAGATAATACCCGCAGACAGGTAACCAATATCCTTTTCAAGGCCAAACCCCCTTCACCTAACATCACTAGACAAGAGCGATTGGCTCTCCAAGACCTTAACAGGAACACGGACATCATCGTGCTTCTAGCCGACAAAGGCAACATGACAGTAGTCATGAACACATCAGACTATAAGAAAAAGATGAAGAACCTTCTTTCGGACAAAGCATACAAAAAGCTTGACAAAGATCCAACTAATACAATCGCACAAAACACCAAGATCCTAGTGGAGAAAAGCAACATTCCCAGTAAAACCAAAAACATTAAAACCTACAAATCCTCGTCCATCAAGACTACCAAAAGTACACAAACCAAACATCCCCCTCAGATCGAGTGTCAGCGCCATACACTCTCCGACATACAACTTATCCCGCTTCCTGGTACAAATATTACAACCCCTTACTGGAAAATCCGAATCACACATAACCAACTCAACGGACTTTATAAAAAAGATTCAAAAAATCTGACTACGTCCCACAGACTTGCTTGTAAGTTTCGATATAGAATCCCTTTTCACACAAGTTCCAATAAAAGACACATTAAACATAATAAAGGCTTCACATAAAGTCCCCTCCGATCTCATCCCACTAATAGAGCACTGCTTAACAACCACTTACTTCTCCTATAACAACCAATTTTATGAACAAACGTCAGGAGTAGCAATGGGCTCTCCTATTTCTCCTGTAATTACCAACATCTTCATGGAGTATTTTGAAAAAGAGGCTCTCAGGAAAACATCTAAAAAACCAGAAGTTTGGTTCCGTTATGTAGACGACACATTCGTGATATGGAGACACGGCAGAGCCGAACTTCGTAAATTCCTTATTTTCCTCAACAATCAACAAATCCCAAATATCCACTTCACTATAGACATAGAGGAAAACGGAAAACTCCCCTTCCTAGATATTCTTATCTCTAAGAAAGCTGACGGTACCTTAGGCCATCAAGTGTATAGAAAACCAACACACACAGATAGATACCTACATGCCGAATCGCATCACCACCCATTACAGAAACAGTCTGCAATCAACTCACTTGTACATAGAGTTTTCTCCATCTCTGACAAAGAACATCTACAGACAGAATTCAACCACTTAAAACTAGCCTTATAGAAAAACGGACACAACAAAAAAGACATAATTAAAACTATCAATAAACATGCAAACAAGACAATGGTCTCTGACACAACCGGACGATAAGATTCTATCCATTCTCCCATATGTCAAAGGAACAGATTGGATTGGCAGGATATTAAACAAGCACAATATCCAAACTATCTTTAAACCACCCAAAAAGATAGGACAAATCTTAACAAATCCTAAAGATCAAAGACCTCCACTCAGCTCCGCAGGAGTATACGAAATACCTTGTTCCTGTAGGCAAGTATACATTGGAGAAACCGGGAGAATGGTCAATCTACGGATGAAAGAACACCAACGTGATGTCAGGCTAAAACATGTCACGCAGTCAGCATTATCAGAACACAACATCGAAACGAGACATCAAATACTGTTTGATAAAACGACCACAATAGCCAACATTACTTCATACTTTCTAAGGAAGTATAGAGAAGCCATAGAGATACAGAAACATCCTAACAATCTGAATAGAGATAATGGCTACAACATAAATAAGATGTGGAAGGTCATTCTCCCGATTATTGAGGACTGACCGATTCCTCTTCTTCTTTTTCTCCCTCCCACCCCTCCTCGTCCACAATTCTCTTCTTTCCCCCCACCACTCAACAAGTAGCGTATAAAAAAGGAACGACCCAGAGGAACAACTCAGTATCGAGCTGCTCTTCGCTCTGATGAAATGGACTGCAAGGTTCACGAAACGTTGGCATTTCAAGAATGGATTTGAACACTGAGAAAACCCGCGAAATGTATAACTTTTATACTTTTTACACTTCTTAAAATGAGGGTAATTAGTTTAACTATCGCACCTTAAAAATCAATGAAATTAGGCTTATTCGACACGTTTTTGCATGAAACAAAAGAATCTGGCAAAAAAATGCGTTGTTCTGACCTGTGATCCGAGATATTAAGCGTTAAAGTTGTTGACTATTGAGGTTAGGAAATCTGTTACAGAGGTAAAATGAGATCTATAATTGTACCATTTCATATGGATTTCGACTGGTTTCGATTTTCCATGCGATGTAAGGTGATTCCATTATGTTTCGGCGTAAAAAGCATAAAGTAACTAAGCAGAAATTGATGTTCAAGTGAAACGATATGATTGGTCGGTGCAAGTTAAACTTACGCAAGTTACGCCGCATATGACGATACCCTAAATGCATGATGTATAACCATAGACTTGCTATCGTAATATTTATGAATTAGACACTATTAAATTTTTACGTTTTGTTAAATTTTAATCGCCAGTTAGTCGCCTAAACGTGCCAGAATATTTGTCAAAAACTATGAAGCTTATACAGCGTTTCTAAAGCTGCAATTTACAGCGCCACTATAGCGTGAGATAAAGTGAGATAGCACGATTTTTCTTTCTCGCACAATTTTGATGAAAAATGGCGACCACTTCAAGTGGTCAGACTCTAATTAGAGGGTCATTAGGTGCAACTGGTGCGTTCTGCTGGTCGAATGATGCAATCTTTCGTCAGTGTCGCATGTTTGTCTGGGCTAGTACACAGCACAAGTGTACACAAAGTGATTCCAACAAATTTATTGGGGCCAGCCTTGACTATATAACATACTGCTGGCAGCAACTTCAGACTGGTAGTTATCCCATGCAACAGAAAGAAAGATACATGTACCCAACATGTTTGATGTTAAGCCCGCTCCATTGATCAAAAGAGTGGCAAATTCAAATATATTTTAGGTTGTTCCTATTAAAATAAGAACCTTATAAGAAACTTATATTTTGAATTTAACACATAGAATTAATTTATTCGCAATAAATTTATTTACAGTTTTTCAACATATTAACATCTTTAGAATATGATGCTTGATTGTAGTATCAAATTATTAAATTGCTTGTCAATTCGCAATTACTAAAGTAATTTTAATTGCGTTTATAGTCCGAAAAAACAATTCGG